GCCAGAATTTGACAGTCTCTGGTGGCCCACTTCAGGGAGGTAAACCCACAGGGAATTATTTCTGTTTTCTCTATTACCCGTTTCTGATTGGTTCAACTCCCTGCACTGCCTCACTGCCCAGTTGTGTGAACTCCAATGCTAACACAAGCAGAGCTAACAGCACATTTGGCATGGGTGGGTGTAAGCATGGGAGGGCAGGATTTTAACAGCCTGGGAAAGTGATCCTTGAACTCATACATTCAAAAACTACAAATCTTCCAAGTTTCACAAAATTCACAAGTCATTCTTTTAAAGGCAAATGATCATATATAATTTCCATGGCAAGTCATTACGTTGTATTTTGAATAAACAGAAATTCCAAATAGTTCCAGTGGGAGTTGGTATCAACTTACACAAGTATGGTTGGAAATTTTAAAGTTGTTTTTGTTCCTGTTGGATATCGAGGTCTCCCTATTGAGTCTTTCTAAATTCTGTCTATGTGTTTAATGACATCAAGAGTGTTTATTGGCATAGTTCACTGTTTTGAATGTAAAGTTCAAAACTTGAAAACATAAATGTGAAGAAAGGTGATCAATGGTTCTTGTACTACAGCTTGTTTGTCAACCTGTTCACCACTCTTGATTTCAGCACCTGCTGAAATGACATTTCATCCTTTCGCAAATATTTAACAGGATGGAGTATTTAGGAAAAGTGTAAAGTGCCTCAAGGATAGGTAATCAAGAAATGTGTTAAGAATAATAAAAAAACAATGCTCCAAAATAATAGAAAACACTGAAGGGAGTGGCTTCCTAAAGCTGCCAATGGTGCACTTAAATTCTGTTATGCCTAAAAATTGCAGTAGATCTAGTACTTTATAAGTAGATAGCTCAGCAGAAGCCCAGAGACTTCCGAACTTAAGTCCAAGAGTTTTAAAATAAATTTTTTTATAATTCTAACAATGATGAAAGAATGTTTTTGTACATAGAGAGTATTTTAAATTGGAACTACTGTACAAGAAGAAAGCTGAGAAATGAATGAGCTTGTCACTTGAACTGAAGTGGTTACTCTGAGAAAATCCACAGATCCTTATACATTGCAATGTATGTTGTGCAATGAACATATAGTAATCCTCCTTTTTTCCCAGACATGAGAAAAAATTAAATGGAATTTGACTCAGAAAAAAAGATCTATGATTCACAGTGCTGTAAATGGAAGACAAGAAAAAAGTTCTGACCACTCAATCTGTGATTCATAAGATAGCAATGTAATTTTTCAGTGTATTTTTGAAATTCCGCTAGCTTCCACAGTAGGTATCTGAGCACAAGTCCTATAATTCAGGTTCCTTTGACTTGCATCTCCCTTGTTTTTCAACAAATCATCATCTACCATTGTCATGTTAACTAAGCTGAAACAATAGCAACATAGAGACCATAAAGATGTAGCTATGGGTCCCTGATACTTCTTTTTGTATTTCAAAAGGTGACACCGTTCCTTGTATATCATCTCTGGGACCCATTCTCTGTCATGCTGAGGAATTTGACATCTTTCCAATGAGACACAAAATTGACGTACTGTCCCTTAATAGTTGCTGGGTACTGACTGCAAGAACGACATTATTATCCTGCCGACTAAATTCCATTCTAGTAACCCAATATTCATATTTTTCCACATGACTGAGGCAATTCATCCTTCTTGTTCTAAATCTTGATAACCATAACATTGCCATGCATTGCCACAGATGACCAGTATTTAACTGTCAGCTTGGTTTAATTCCAGTAAGACATGAAGTCATTGCTTTATTTGTTATGCAGCTACTAGTCCCTTTGGGAGTTTCCTGCATGGAAAATGTGATGTTAGACCTGATGCTACCTGCATATCAAGGTGCTAATATGGCATTAAAGTTATGTGGAAATTCTTACGTATGCAGGCCAGCTTGGAAGAGAGTCAACAGATAAGGAAACAGGCTAGATAGACACTTACTTTTTTGGGTACTCTGGTAATGATTTGTAGATGTGTGATCAGACACTGAAGTCTATCCACTGAAGTATTATTAAATAGAGTGGGCCCAAGGACTGTTTTCTGACCCCGCAGCCAGGTGGCAAAGACTGTCAGGTCCATAGTACATTTAGCACTTGTTTTGGCTATCCCATTGTGGGGTCTAAGACATTTTTACTATCACTAGTTTCCTTTTCTAGTTCCCAATGCTTGAAACAAATGTCTGAGGGTTATGCTGCAACATGTCAGCATGGTATCTTCACAGCCACAGAGGCTGTGTCGTGTACCTTGGGGTACCCAGATGTGTCTGAGGGCAGTGCCTGGTGGTGCAGTGTCAGGTATCTGCATGTGGCAAAGGGAGCTGTTTTCTCTTATTTCCCAGTGCTGTTCTACAAATCATACCCAGGGGCTGTCGGGGAAGGGGTTTATCTGTACATAGAAGAAAACACCAGAGAATGCTAGTTGTTGAGCACAATGGACAACTGGTGGTCCAATATCCAGAGCAGCTCAGTGGTTCTGTTTCAGGAGGGTTCCTTAGGGCGTGAGATGCAGCATCCTCAGCCACTCATACACCTAGTGCTGTCAGGGCACTAAAAGTGGACAAGTTTGGTTACAACAGTGCACAGTGAGAACAGAGGAGGGGAATTATGGTAGTGTGGTAGGGACGTTTGCCAAGTAGCCTCTTTGAGAGGTTTTATCTGCTTTACGATACTGGTAGTGCTCCAAGAAATCAGAGATGTAGTGACAGAGCAAACATGGCAATTTCTACGTTTTATGAGAAAAGTCACAAACCCTAAGGAGGTTATCACATTCTACTCTTTCTTCCTGATGTCTTATACTGGGAGAATCCCAAAGGGCATAAAATATTTTCCTGAAAGACTAGTTTGGTCCCATCACTTTTCTGCAACACTGATATAAGTATGTAACTAGTGCTTAAGCTTTTAAGCTTCTTGAGGATTTAAATTGTAATCAGGAAATATAGAAAAAAAATCAAAAGCATGTGATATGTTCCAATACAAGCTAATGAGAAACAGCATATATGGGAAAGGAAAAAGTTTTATTTAACTAGATAATGAGAAGCACAACCCAAACAATTCAGAACCAATTTAAGACAGCCCAGCCATTGATGATAATGTGTATTTTGTACCACTGTCCAACCTGAAGCACTTACCAGGTGGCCTTCAGGAAAAGAGGCTACTAGAAATGGACCACTGGTCAGATTAAATGTCCTCGCAGGGCACAGGTTGAGGACAACTCAGGCAAGGAAATGATTGCTTGTTCTCAAAGAATTCTTTCTCTTGATGGATGCCCATGTGTGTGACATTTTTCTTATCTCCTCTTTCACTGCAGTGCCTGCTAAGGCTGTGTATACTTCAAGTTCCTTGTTGGAAGGGTTGTGTTTGTTTCATCAGTGAGCACCCAGAGATCATCCTCATTCAGCCCCTCAGGGCTCAGTGTGCAGTACTGTTTTGAAGAGCTGTAGTATTCATTTTGACTGCTAAAGGGGAAATTATTAGGCCATACAGTTTTCAAAACCTGGGACTTGGTGTTCGTGAAGACGAGTCTTCATGAGTTTTCTGTGAAGTTCACCTTCATGGAAACACTTTAAACCTCTGTGTGTTTTGCATACTATGTTAATGGACAAATAAAGTGAAGAATCATGTGTTGTGTAGCTTCTTACTCAGGAATAATGTATCCATCATCTGTTTCTGTATTCTCTGGGATTCAGGCTGCAAAACTTTTTTTCCAGATATTTGGCATATTATTCATTAGCAAGGCTGACACAGAGCAACTATTTTGCCAGAATATAAAAGAGAAATGCAAGAGAAGGGAGAACTCTAGCTCAGAAACATGTATATCATGCTTAATATGAGAACGACACAGAGCATGCCATCATTATTAGATGCATTGCAGAGAATAAACTAAGGAAGGAAATGGCTACTGGATAACAGATCTGATTTTTGAGTTTAAAGACAATGCTGAAAATGAGAGATGCTAAGTCTACCATGTACAGCTCTCACAGAAAGAAGTGACAAACATGACATAAGGGTTCATTCTCTACATAATATGATGATTTAGTCTGTTTCTAAAGAACCTGGATGTTATTTAACCAAAAACATATCAAGGGCCATCAACTGGGCTAAAGGTTTCAATAGTCGCCAGAAAAATGCCACAAAATACAAACCAAAGCAGTTTTCATTCTTTCTTCGTCTGAGACCTTCAGTGAGCACACTTAATATGTGCAAAGAGAGAAGTTCTTTGAATCTCTATTAGGCTGGGTTAGGAGAGATCAAAGGTGTGAGTATATGGTACCTGTGCTATTGATACTCTGCTAGAGGGAAATGCATTTTCTTACAATTCAAAGTTTACTTTCAAAATAATGGCACTTTTTCCATAATGTTTTGGTTAAGTTCAAAGGAAGTTTGTTGTCCATGAAAACTAAAATTCAAATGTTCAGTGGACTGTTCTATAGTTGGGAATGAGCAGGGCCCCAAAATATTCACCAACAATTGTCTTTGCAGCAAGAACCATGGAGTACGACACCCTGTGTATAATAGGGCAACAAAGCTCTGGCACTGGTTCTTACTTAAGTGTTGAGGAAAAAAGGGTTACAAATCAATCTGAGGGGAATCAAGAGTGCTGAAAGGCTTCCTGAGTTCTGCTACTTAATGTTCCAGCCTTTTAACAAAATCTGGTGGTGTAGGAACCGCCAGCATAGGTCAGACCACTCTGGTCTAGATAATCCATAAGCTAGTCTCCTTTGGGGCTAATGCTGTATGCTTCAGAAGAGGGTACAGAAGAACCTCATAGCTGTAGTGAAAGATTTTGATGAGGGGCTGCTTGTTTATACACAAGGGATCAAATATGGAGCCAAGCACTGCAGGCAAGTTTGAATGTTAAATCTGAGGATGCAAAACTCCTGGAAGAGCATTTAAAACTTTTAAAATAAAAGGAAAAAAGGAAAAAAGCAATTAGGATAAAACAGAAACCTTGACTACTAGTAATGTTTCAATACTCCTTTGCAGCTCTTCCGTGTGTTGTGGGGGAGTGGAGTCATTGGAGTGGCTGTGCAGAACAGTGTCATCCCGGTCTGCGAATACGCAGGCGCTACGTACAACAGGAACCTAAAAATGGTGGGGAACCTTGTCCGGCTCTGGAGGAGAAGGCTGGCTGCCTGGAATACCTGACTTACCAGGGGGAGGACTGCGGCCATGAACATGGTATTCTGTCTTTATCTGTACATTGTGTCCATCAAGGCTGCCATGAATTTTACTGATATTAATGAACAGGAAAAAAAAAAGCATCTATCTGTAGATAGGTGGTTAAAAATACAATTGAAAATGTTGCTTTCTACTGTCATAGTGCTATTTATTTTATTATTTTTTCCCCACTCTGGCATTTCTTAATTTCTATTAAGTAAACAACCAAATTAAGCTTCATGCACTCCCTTCAGTTTCTGGACATAAGCCCCTCAGTAAGTATCAAATTATATCTGTGCAAAGTTAGAACACAAATTCAGCATGAAACGGGAAAGAGTACTCTTTGTAGGATTCCAGCACATCCTACTTCCTCAGACTAGATGGCATCCATTTCTAGATATTTTTCTTCTGAATAAGGAGAGCTTAGCTGCAGGGAATGGGGTTGACATCTGATGTCGCCAACATTTTACCACTTTTTCAGTAAAGTCAGCCAACATCACATAACCATCCACAAGCTCCCAATTCATTCATCCGCCGTTACAGTAACTGAAATACGGCTCAGCTATTGTCTTGCTGCCTTACCATAACTGTTTTCTTCCTCAGTCCCTGCTTTCATAACAACCTCTGAATACGGTAAAGAAAGAAAGCGACGAGCAGTATCTTCTCTCTGGCCTTCAGACAAAGAAGCAGCTGGGTAATCTGTTTATCGTATGCATGTGGGTCATCTTGCTCAGTAGAAAGTAGCTGGCTACAGAGAAAAGTGTAATGAAATTTGCAACAATTAAACAATAAGCTACAGCTTGTACGGGTTTTCTTTCATGCAGTTTATTTGCATGTTCTAGACGTTGTTTTTTATTACTTGCTAATTGTCCTGAATTAGACATTGGGATCATGGTAAATGTGATGACAGCTGTGTTTGAAAGCCAACAGTACATAATGCTAAACCAAAGCTGAATGTGTCCTAAGTGTAAGTCTAAGAAATTAGACTTAGGCATCTGAACTCATAAAGTGGGTGATTGGTCTCAAGAGACCTTTTTTTTAAACTAATTGACACAATTGATAAAAAATTTTGTTTGACTACCAGTAGAGATAGCTATGAAGTTTAAATTAGGCTGTTACTGGGTCTGTAAGCTCATAATGCTTTGTCCTGTGCTATTTTCCCCAGAACAATAAATCCCATTGGTATTCTTAGTCTCTTTTCCATTTTCTCCTTCAGCAGAATAGAAGCAAAAGTATGGGTTACCAAGTTCTGCTTTTCAACATAATTTAAGAATACAGAACACAACCAGAAAGTGGGATTATACATAAAGCACTGGACTGGAGCATAGAATGAGAAATAGTTTGCAGAAAGTTTTTAAGAATCCATTGATTAGGTTAGGTCAGAAAGAGACTTGTTAGCAATGATGATGTCTAACTTGCACTTCACAAATACCACCTGTTTGGTAAGTACATTCAAAGTAAAGCTTGTGCTTTATCTATCATAACTAATCTAGTACTTTTTCTGCTGAGCAGATACTGTGTGGAGTTTAGAACAGAGTCACTTTCACACCACTGTGCTTTGGAGAATCGGCCATATGCTCGCTGGATGCAGTACCTACGTGAAGGACACACTGTGTGCGTTGCCTGCCAGGCTCCAGCTATGAACATCGACACGCATCGCTGTGCTGGGGATGGCCATAATGCAGATGGGTAAATAAAGCCTTTTTTTCTTCTCTCTCTTCTGGAGCAAAACTCAGTACAGAAGTTAAACCTTCTCAAGGTCTCATTAAAAGCTGCATTTATTATACCTAAAAACCGAAACAGCTCATACCACTTGTAGAGCTCAGAAGGTTTACCCTTTCAGTTCTCACAGAATTGGGAAGTCATTTCAATATAAGAGTTCAATGCTTTGCAAGCTTTATTTACAATTGTGAAGGAATAATGCAACTTCTGTAGTGCAAGAGGACTTTTTACAGTTACAGGCACTTTTACATAAAAATGGTATTTCCTGTCATAATCCAAATCTGATTGCAGGTTTAATAGCAGTGCATCAGTACGCCCCTCAAACCTATATACCTGGTTTATAGAAAACTAAATGTGAAAGTAGACATTTATTATTCATAACAGATTTTTACTTGATCCATACTTTCATTAATATGCATACAACTTGATACTTGTACAACCAGATACTCAATCCACCATCCTGTATATATATACTTCAGAATATAGTGCCTGCTCCATAAACCATTTCAAGAGCTAGATGAGTCCTACATGATTAAGCAAATAAAATCTTCTGACATGTTATACTACATAACCCATTAACATGAAATACACAATTTTCAGTCTTCTAATTCCTCATTTATTGTCACATTTCAGAGGTAAAATCTTACACTGGGAAGCAGTTGGCAACTCTCAGTGCCAAGGAACCTGGAAGAAGATTCGGCAACTGGAACACTGTTCATGTCCCCTGGTGCATAGCTTTATTTTTACATAAAAGTTTAAAAGACCTTTAAAACAGCAACAACAAAAAGATTGAGAATATTAACATCAATGCCAAGAAATCTACATCTTTATGCTGCATTTTCTGGAGCCTAAACAAATTTTAAAGGAGTCAGAACTTTAGAAGAAGCATTTTGGGAAACTCTCTCTGCCTTAATACAAAATGCTAAGACTGATTTTCTATTAGAACACTAGAAGCATGTTTCCATGTTTCTCTTTGGTAATTAAGAGCTAATATTTCTAATCATAGTGGTTGCTTTTCCTGAAGTTCGCATTCTCTACTGGCCACAGCCCTGTCTACAGGCACTGCTCCTACTCAGTAGCAAGCCAGCCAAACATTCTCAAGTCTGATGATAGTTACTGTCATCACTGAATAGCAAGAGTAAATAAAAATGAAAGTTTGAGTGTTAAAACCAGATTTCAGTTTAGATCCTTGATTCCTTCCCAGCATCATCTAGACAGTTGTTTATACTACAAGTGCGTAAGTATTCTTCCTCTACATTTCAGTTCTCATGTTCACCCACCTTCATAGGTGACTCCACAGTCAGTGTTAAGGAAGTAGACTTCCCAGAACTTCATGTCACTATTACACATGAGCATTTTTAACTAGTAATAAGGAACTTTTTTAATATTAGCCAAGGTTCATCTGCCATAAAGTTCACACTATGTATTAGGCTTCACATTAAAGTCATCACCTGAACAACTTTGCTTACATAAATGTTTTATACCTATTACTATTCTGTTTCACGTTTTAGGACAACAACACTGCTGGACACTTTGAGACTAAAATAAGTTGTTATTCTGGAAAGCTAGGCTAGGTCAATCCTGCACAATGTTCTCCATCGGTCTTTTAACATGACACTTGTTCGGTTGTCGAAGTTACCATGGGCCAAAATTTTAGCCCAGTTACCCACTCCGAACATCTTTACTCCTGATTTCAGTTCCAAGTCTTCTTTGTAAGTCCATCGCTAGGGGAAGAACAGAGAAAAATACTGGATATGTGAACAGAGAAAGCTATTAATGTAAAAGCTAACCTTACAGCAAACATAAAAGCAAGTTTTCATACTGCTCTCTAGTTATTACAGAGTACAGGTGTCAGAGGGTGTTTGTTTTCAAACTTGAATCTGAATCTTGAAACTAAATACAACAACAAAGGTTATCAAGTCAAGTTTTACAACACATTAGCAGATATCACCTGGAAAGAGAACAGCATGCTTCAATGTTCACAAGTCAGAGGAGGAAAAGAAAAAAGATATTGGGCCAAGGTTTGCTTTCTTCAAAGAATGCTTTCCAAAATTGTACTTTATAAGCTAATTGAGCCAAGGCAAACTTTGATTGATCCTAGTGAAAGCATTCTGTTACACATTAGGCCAGGAACTGAGAATCAAGACACCTTTTACCAACAACAAAAGAATTTCAGTGTGCTCAGGAACAAATCCCAATATTTAAAATGTTTATAGAAGCAAAATTATACATATTGCATTTGAAAGTGACATCAGTCATATTCTCAGCTAACAGCTATGCATTTGCTTTTGGCCATTTGTTGAGCCTACTACTTAAGTCTGATTGCCATGAGTTACAAGCTTTTTAATCTTCAGGGCATGACTTTTCTCTCATGAAAGTAAAAGAAAATTACTTGCAGTTATACATCTGTAAGCAATCCCTTCCAGTTCTTTCTTAGTTGCTTCTTGGTACAAATACCTCAATACAAAGAGTTTTAGGACTGCAGACAGGGTAAAAGAAAACCGAATTTTTAAAAATCAAATTCTTGATTTTAAAAATCTTACCTTTACAGAAAAGTGCGAGGGAGAACCAATTATCAATTTTCCTTTAGCATAACTTCATAAAAATAGACATCTATATAACAAAAATTTACAAATTCTATATATCCTCTGATGTCTTTAACTACTACATTTTTTGACATGTGTATGTATAAGGGGTATTAGATGCAGTCAATTTTTTCACTCTGAAATAGCATTAGCAACTTTATTATGAAATTATTTTAAAACAACTTATTTGGCTAGAATCTGACTCTCCACAAATGTCTTCGAATCCTTGCTTGCTTAATACACAACTAATCACACTGATGTATGATCAGCACCTCCTCAGGCAAACTGAATTGCATATTATCTATGCAAGCATAGGACAGAATCCTCAGGTGAAATAACTGTGTAGAAAAACTGTTTCTAAAAAGTAAGTATCAATTTCTACTTGAAACTGCAGTTTGATAGCATGTTCTTTCTAAATTTATTCCCTCAAACCTGAAATGCAAAGGCTTAACTTACAGAAAAAATAAAAACTTAAAAACATTAATGAGATTGAGATGCACAGAGAATTGTATTGTGCAGCTGTTCCATTTAATTTATTTATGTTTAGTTCTGCTTCTTGCACAGGAGGGATCCTGCTTCTTCTGACAGTCTCGTGGACTGCAGTAAGTTATGAAAGGAGACAAATGGTCAATTTTCACTGGTCTCATGCTGGCATTTCTGTAATCACCAACAGATTCCATATTAAAAATCATTAGTTACCAGACTTACAAAATCCGCATGTGTTTATGTGCATGTCATGAGCAAATGACTGCTGAAAATCCAACCAAAAGACTCCTTTATTTCTGCATTTAACCATCACCTGTGTTGTACTGATTTTGGAGTTGCTCTGAAATAGTAAAAAAGTCAGAGTTTTTGCTCATAAAAGTACTACAAAATTTATACAGGCAAGTGATCAAAAGCACTGCAATTACTTATGTTCAGTGTGTGAAATTAAAATTGGTAATGTTGAATAGGCCTTTGCGGGCCTCAGGAGTTAAGAAGCATTTGCAGCTAATGGTCTTGCCAGTCAGAACAATTTAAATTGCCAAAAGAGTGAACTATTTGTAAAAGAAGGTACTGACTCGAGCCTCTTCATCTGAGGAATTGAATTTGCTGCTGTTATGTACCATAAGCTGCTTATCTGACACAATTTTCGTGAAAAAACTGTTTGTAAAAGTTATAGAACTCCATAGCTGTCCCTGCTGGGCAGAATTCACATCAGCAAAGGCCATCACTGCTGCTCCCTGTCCTCTCCTATCATCACAGCCACCAACTGATCTCAACTGCAATTCAGGTTATTTCCACAACAGCATCTGGTGCTGTGAATGGGATTCACACATCCTGCTTCGCTTAGGCAGACCATGGGCTGATCCCTGACACTGCTTGGAAGGTAAAGAATCTTTTGAAATCCCTGTTGGGGCTTTAGCCAAGGGTCATCTGTAGGCTCCTGCAATGTGTGGGGGCTGCTGAATCCCAGCTTTAATATAGGTCAGTCAGGCACCCCTCTGCCAGCTAAAAGAGGGAAAGGTAATTGTAATGCGGGTCTGGTCTGCTGGACAGATGTTATGACCAAGAGGAGCCCTTGTGTGTCTTGTAGTTTTCCTTTGAGTTACTGGTTATCATCAGGCTGGAGGGTCATCCCAGAAGCAGTGACTGTGAGCTGCCACCCAGGAGGCACAGGCTCCCTCTGTCTTTTCTTTTGTCTCTTTGAATGAGTGAAAATTTCACCCTTTACCTGAAAGGGAGACATCTTGCAAGTGTACAGTGCAGTACAGCCAGAAGAGTGCTCATATTTGGTGCATCCATCTGCACCAGCCAGGAAGTTACGGCCCTATGAAAGGAATGGGAGGGCTGTGATGTGGGCAGGGGTACCAGGCAGGCAGAAAGGTTGTTCCCATACTTGGGCATGTGCAAATATTCACATGCCTGTGAACCTAGAGAAGGGGGTGTGTTCCTTCACCAGCGAACTTACACCTCTACCAGACAGACAAGGGAAGAGGACTCCGCTGTGTTTATGTCTTACACGGGTACCACACATGGGTGGTGTTGAGGACAGCACCTTTTCAGTGGCAGTGTCCTGTGTATGTGTGCCTCTTGGATTTGTGTTCAGCTTTGTTACTAGGCAAACCTGCAGATGGGAAAGCAGGAGCCACTGCCTGAGTAGTGAACCCAGGTTCCCTGGACTCCACACTGGGCTCCAGCAACCAGACAAGAGGGTCCTGGGATGAGGCTGCTGGAGGAGGTGGCCACTTCTAACATGCCTTAACAATTTTGTAGCCAGCAGAACCTGGTTGAGTTGTGAGCATTCCTGAGATTAAATGTATACAATCCTTATGTGACAGGGGACTGATTGACTAATCCTTTGCTAATAAAGCCTTGGGTTAATTGGAATAACTCAATTGGAATAAAAAATGTTTACAGAACTCTACAAGAGCCATAAGAATTGTAAATGGCTAAATCTGAAGGCCTAAAATTTGGAACTTTGTGGATTAAAAGAAAGGTTGGTTTACCAGAGTATGTATAAAACCTTCTCCTATAAGTAACAGAACACTTCCAACTAACAAATGGATAAATGGTGTTGGCTATAAAGCAAAAGGGAAGACTAGAAAATCATGTTATGGCTCACCTTTACAACTGAAACTTTCAAAATTGTAAAGAACTGGGCAGAAAGGGAAATGTGGATGCAAAGGAATAGCCTCAACTTACAGAAAGTTAAAGCCAACTAGTAGATCTGATAAGTGTGAGGAAATATATGAATTACAGGGGAATGAACATCACTTAAATCTGCAAATAACGTACCCAGTGGAAATGTAAATCTCATGGCTGCTGTCATTAGACAAATACATACCATCCTGCTGGTGCACAAGGGAGGGTGGACAGGAAAACCCAGGCTCAGCTGGTATGACTGTCAGTGGCACAAGAGGTCCTTGTGCTAAATCCCACATCCATGGAGACAGCAAAAAAAAAATAAAATTATCTCCTCTCTGTATGACCTGGAACCCTTCTGGGATCCTTAAAAGATTCTGCTCTTAAAAGCAAAATCAATTCAGACATTGGGAATAGGCCAGGTGACAACTGAGTGTCATTCTGTATGGTTCTCCACTTCCCTTGAATTTAAGTTGCTAGAAGTGTCAGCAGCAGTCAAACATGAAAGGCAGGGGCGTGAGTATGAGGGAGAAGCTTAGATAACATTCAGCCTGATCAGAACACTACCCTGGTTTTTCTGTAACGAGGGAAAATGTGACACCTATGCAAAGTGTAAGCGGATGTACGTGAAGACTAAACTTTACATCTCAAAGTTGGACCTACTCCAGCTTAATGCAACTATCAATGCCTCTTCAGTAAACTATGATCACTAACAAACCTCACTAAGCAGGGAAAGAATTACAAGTGATAGCAGTTCAGCTGTATTTCTAAAAGGTTTGGAACCTAAAACTTCTCTAAAGTAGTCTAACCTTTATCAAAAATACTTCCTTTTTCCAATACTTCCTGTTCCACAAATATTTTGCAACATCAGCAGTGAATGGCTCTTGGTTTGGTTTTTTTTTAACTTTATTAAAAGGCCAGAGATTCCATTGGAATCACGTAGTTCATTCCAGAGCATGCCAGAAAACTTTCCTAAATAAAATCTTTATTCAAGTAACAGAGTTATTCTTGACCTAGAACACCAGATAATTCAAATACTTCAATCAGAGACAATTACAACTATTGTTACTTGCAATGATTAGTTACATTTGCTCTTAAAAGGGCTGGTTTAGCTTGTTTTGATTTTAAATTGCTTATATTGAGCTTTCGTTTTTTAAAATAAATTTCTTCAGTTTAACATACAAGTGAGGAGCCTGCCTTACAGGTAAATCAGGGACTGTCATCTTTTCTCTTCACTCAGGAGCTGCACAGAGCAGTAACTTGCCTCCCACCTCACTGACCGATGAACTGCCTGTCCCCTCTGGGACAGCACTTTTGTAGATTCCAGTTTTGCACTGTTACAAGCTACCAAGGCTGGTTGAAAGCCTGGACATAATGCAGCATTACATTTGAGCTCACATCATCACGGCACCTAGTCCAGAGCAACGTGACATCTGGCCAGCTTAGAATGCAGGCAGAGCAAGCTTGAGTTTGCCAGGCAGAATGCAGAGGCATACTCTGTCATATCTAAAGATCTTGTTATTCCTTAGAGTCAGTCCTCCTCTAGTAACCTGTCTTCCTTTATGCATTACGGGACTCCGCTCTGATTTTTTTCCTTCTGGTTTAAATATATGGATTTTTTTTCCCATACAAGTCTGACTAAATTCTGAACATCCAGATTTTCAGACACATTCTTTAATTTAAAGAAACTGTCAGTCAGATTTTAAACAACTCAAAGGACAGGATACAAAATTGAGTACAAACAGTTCCCTAAATACCGTGACACTTGCATCCCCTAATTTAGGGAGAAGAAAATAAAGTATGCTTGCTTTCAATAGCACTGCAGAGTGTTATTTGCAGCTAACTGAAAACACAGCAATGAAAGGCTGAAAATGGGCACTGAACCATTGCAATGAAATGCCATTTACAAAACAAGAGCAAACAATGCCAACATTGAAAGAGGGACTACTTGGAAAAGGAAGTTCTAGAAGTCGACAGCTCTGACATTCATTGCATTCTTTCATGCATGTAGACAATTTTATAACCCAGATGATTAAGCAGAGGAGCAGATTTATCGTGTAAAAGGCCAATTATCATTGCTTTCTACAGAATATTTCCAAGCAGTCTCACTGGTAGGGAGTATGGTATAAATATCACAGAGGCAGCAAGTGCCTACAACTTTTCTAAGTGTTTAAAGAAACACAATTCTTAATCATAAAATTCATTCAAGTTTTTATAAAATTTTCAGAGTTCTTTGCTACTATCAGATGCATTTTTCTAAAAATTTTGCCTTTACATTTCAATTAAGGTTGAAATACAACAATGTAACTAAGCAAACAACATCTATTTTTTTCTAACAAGATGCGTGCATAAGCCCTAGACTTAGATACACTGTTTGTAGGTGACCCCATAACAGACTACCTCAGCATGAAAATATGTGAACACAAAGTTCTCATTAGCTCTCTGTCAATTGTGATCCAAACAGTTTAAATCTTGATGTTGAAAACAAGCTTGATGGAAGTGTTCATGCTTACCAGACACTGGTTAACAAGGTACCTATCCAAGTATACTTTGGAGTAAACTAATTATATTTTTAAAGGCAACAAACAAATCCAGTAAGTGCTGCTCTTTTTTTCTTTTTAGGGCACTGGTTGTATCTGTAGCTTTTAAAGAGGCTCTCAGTGATTTAACTATTCCTGAGATTTGTGAGAAAGTGAAAAACTGTTTATAGGGGCTTAACCTGCAAGGATAGATGAGCTCTCATTAGGACCTCAACCAATTTGAGGACACCATGTAACTGAAGATTTAACCCGTACTTCAACTGCAGTAGAAATGGTTAAAGAACTAGAAGTAAGTACAACTTTCCTCAATGACAATCTGGAAAAAAACATGAGCAGGTTTGGCCCTCCCTGTTATACAAAAAATGAAATGTCAAAATGAACACCAGAAAAATGAAACAGCTCACACCAAAATGGATGTACGATGGTAACCTGTACTGTTATCTAAACGGAAAGACTCCAAATTGCCTCCTAAGAGATATTATGAAAATGAATTCAAAGGCAATGCATTTATTTAATATTAATTTCCTTAGTTATCATGGTAAGAAGCTGAACAATTATGAATGAAAATTGGCTATGGGCAAAAATTAGCTGGAAACAGTTTACCCCAACATCATACCAAATTGCCTTCTATTAAGGTATACACTTCTGTACTTCCCACCAACAGGGAATTCTGGCATTAGTGAACATAACAGCATTATTTTAAGTAATTAAATGAAGTAGGCTCACCCATGAAGAGAATGCAAAGGACGATTTGAAATGTAGCATTATAAGAAGACCCTATCATTTGGTTTATAAAAACTAAAATATTTTCGCAAGCAAATAGATGTTTTCACCTAACATGAGCAAATTATTGAATTATGAAATTGCTAAATATTTAACCTTCTAAGTTGGAAAACAAGTAGTCTTTGATGTTTGCCTAAAATTCTCATGGGCAAATGACATCCTGAATTCTGTAACCCCAACAGTGGAAAGAATTTTTTATTTTTTCACGTTTTTAAAAAAGAATCAAACTAAGCTTTAGAAACAGCGTATTTCAACAAATTAAAGGCTCAGAAGCATTAGCAACAATAATATTTGAGAGTGCACAGAATAAGTTTTATTTCCTCTCTTTAAAAAAAATTACTTTTAACAGTTTCAGGAGCTGTAGCACAGCTTGAGTAATCTACAGAATCTTAAGTCTAGGCATTTTGGAGAAGGTCAAATAAAGCTGGGAAAAAAATTCGGTGCAGTGTAGATTAATTTTATGTCAATTTAGAACAGAGAATGGTACAAACCTGTCTTCTTCGGCCACAAGCTGAAACTTCATGGTTTTCCACATTCTGTACGTTGTTCAGACCTAGGAGACAGTGAATATACATCCAGTACAATGAGGAGTCACCATTAAGGCAGCAGTTTTGCATTCTACCATTTACATGAGACAAGAACGTACCCTATTTTGATATGTTATGACAGATTGGGAAAATTTCAGTGTCTGATTACATATAAATATACTTTTTTATATGAATACACATGATATCTCACCATAGTCCAAAGATTCAAAAAATAGCCTGTTCAAAAAAATCACCACATTTTCTATACAAGAGAGTTCACAGAAGAATTATATTTTAATTAGTTAAATTAATTAGTTAAATTAATTAAGTAAAAATTGGTGCACAATAATGAAACATTTCATTTTGGTAAAAGCATTTTTACTATACATACTGCTCTCATTTACATAGAGAGAATGGAAGTAACAAACAATCAGAGCTATGATTCTTTGTATACAGATTGCATTATTTCCAAGTACATGTATCAGGTTTTAACTGTGGCAAGCATTCAAGGCATCTTAAGAGTTTGTCCTTCCATGTACAACATGGCCACACACAGAAATATAGTTCATCTCTCTGTGGTAAGAGGTTGCTAATGGTCTTCAGAACCTACTTATAAATATTACATTATCCATGTTGTTAAATTAGGGTTACCAGGAAAATGCACAAACATCCTAACTTTGTGCATTTTACACTACAATTTGTTTTTCCAATCAGCCAATCTCTTTAGTTCTTCCCACCAAAGTTATCTAGCTCCAAATTCAGAAAGAGACAAATTTCAGTACTCATCTGGCAGTTTTCTTTTGCATAGAATACTGTAAATCACAATAAAGTAAACAAAACCCCAAGCAAACCAGAAAATAGTGAATGATTTCACAAAATGAGTTGCCAGAGAAGCCACTTCACAGCTTCCTAAATACGGCAACCACCAAACCTGCACTTGTACAGAAAATACACACAAAAACTAGTAGCGTTTTTTCCCCCACAACCATTTTTTTATTAATCCAATCACACTTAGAAATAAGTGTTTGACATGACTGTTTCGAAAGTGTAAAAGTAAACTAATACTCACTCTGAAGAACTCTGCTCCCTGTGTGTTTCTGCCCTGAATAAGGCCTGCAAGCAACATAGAATGGAGTAAAAATACACAGAACTTCATGAAAAGTCTATGACCAAAAGCAACAAAAAATTTACCTTTCTGTGGATTTTTTTATGTCTCCAGGAGACTGATTTGTGATATACTGTTGCTCTGTCACCAATCTTGAAAAAAAAGACAAAAAAAAATTTCCTAAGCAGCAACTTGCCATTTACATGATTCAACAATACTTAAATTAAAAAAATATTGAGATCTCTCTACAGAAACAGTGGCATACAAACACTAACTGCATCAATCCATTAACCCTCTTAATCTTGCCTCACACATTTAAATGGATAGCATTTTGCACATCTAGTTTTTCATCAGGAATTACTTCCATAGGGGTTTTTTAACAAGTCTTTCATCATATCTCTCAGACGTAATTGTATCATGAGCTATCTTTCTAAAAAAAACAAAAACAAAAACAAACAAAAACCCAAACAAAACTTGTGAAATGTCTTCCTCTATACTGTCTGCATGAGTCGATTTCCTTAACTAAATGATGCCAAATATTCCAAGTATAACAATGCAGAAATAGAAGCTCTATCCCAACTAAAGACTACAGTTATATTCTCCATGAAAAACAAGGCAATAAACCTAGAATATTAGTATATTCCAAATAATCGTTTTGAGGGTTCACACTGCCAGAATTATGAAGCAACATTACTATTTCCCTTCACATTAGTATCAACAACAGAATCTTGTGTTCAGCTGTAAAGAAAATATAACAGCCTGATTCCATTTTCTTATTCTCTTTCTTGAGATGACTTATAGTCTGAAATTAGGAGGGCAGGACTAAAAAGTGCTCAATCAAGTATTAAAAAAAGCAAAGTCTTTTCATGTTTTTATTGTTATACAAGATTGACAGCTGTTTAAACTGAAAATTCTGCATATTTACAAATAATTAAACTTAACCAAAGCTATTTGATGTAAATGTCAAAAGTAACAACCATAGAAGAGCCCAAATTTTAAAAAAAATAGGGAATATGCTTGTAGCTAATTTTCTATTGGACAGCAGTTTGGAATGTAATGTCCTTCCTTCTACCTATTCTTAATTCTACAAGTTTCAAGTTACTGTCCAAGTACATCCCTCAGTAATATAATCCTTAATACATACCTTTGTTTTGTGACCAAATTACTTTCATCATTTTCACTGACACTCATAGATTTGTTTTGCAATGGTATTGCTTCCAATCCTTTAGACTCTGCATATTTTGTGGCTTCCTGTGAGAAATGGAATTGATACCTTAAAATTAAAGCCAACCAATACCTAGATAGTAGGTCACACTGGGATTAATATGTGTACTCTCTATAAGGACTAACAGTGCTTATTTCACAGACGCTTCAGAGGTTTTCCTATGAAAATAAGTAGTTTCAAAATAACTCTAGCTTGCTAAATTGAAATCCATAAAGATCTTTATCAACTAATAACTCAGAGAAATTTTAAGTCATAGCTGCAAGTGATATTTATATGGACACAAAGAAATGCAATGAATACTTGCATAATGAGTAAACTTATGAAGGTGTGAAGTATATCATGGAGATTAACTAAGACTGCAAATACTATCAAAGTATGCCAAAATCTGTTTTTTATAACTAGGTTAGAAATGGAAAACTGACAGGTCTCACAAGTTTATCTAGTTCTGTAGCACATGTGAGGATCAAGCATGCCTATAACACTTTCAAAAGACATGTCTAGTCAGACCTTAGGCTTGTAATATAACCTTTCTTGCACTGGCAAAATATTTTTTTCTAATATCCTGCTCAAACTTTTAGTCACAAACTAAGATTATTTCTCCTCCATTGCCAAGAGAAGGACGTAGTAGTTCATTACTCTTTATAGAATGTCCGGACAATCCTAAGATTTGTACTTTTCCCTATATTTCTCCCACTTACTTGAGGTAATAAAAACACTCTCAAAAAAAAAAATAAATCATTTAGTCCAACTTAGTCCAAAAGGTCATTCTTGCCAGTTGTGCACTAAGCAGAGCCAACCATCTTCCATCCAACACTACACATCCCAAAAGGTGACCTGCTTTGCAGCACTGAAATATCAAAATGATTCAAAGTTGAGAGCTTCACTATAGGCTCAATATTAATTCTTGCTGCTTAGTCTGTTGCTCTCACTTTTCATCAGTTTGCTCTTCAGGGCTTTCTTTTTCCTCCTGTTAATTTTCCTTCATCCATCCAGTTTTCAGTAGTCTTGAAATCTTAACCTGCCCTTCACAGTAACTTGCAGAGTCTCTCAACATTTCCCAGAGTGAGATAATATAAAAACATTCTCTATTTCAATCATTCATCCATGAAAACACTGGAAAGTATTCTGATCACAGAATACTTCCAATCACAGAAGTGTTTCATTGTCACATATTTCATAACTACCCATAACAACATCTTTCAGATGTAAGTTTTCAAAATACTGGCTGTTTTGCAGTGGCTGATGGTAGCAAAACCTGTATGATAGTGAGGACATTTTTCCATATAGATAAACAGGTAAAAAGGATTTAGTTTAAAAAAAAGTTTAAATCAACTATATTGTACTTTGCAAGTTAACAGTAGCTTTCAAATTGTACTTTTCCGTAAAAATAACTCTTTTGAAAGAAAAATGAAAGTTATAACAAGAAATTACAAAGAATTCAGATCAATGCTTTCTTGGTATAGGTCCTTTAGCCTCGTAATGCACTATCTGCAGACTGTCGTTAGGGCAGCTAACCTATAAGAGTTTCTTGAACTGCAAGAGCTTTATCAACAGTAGGAGCTGCAAGCTTGTAGATTCCAAGCTTGACACTAACCTAGAATAAGCTGTCTTCAAACAGTTTAGCAATGTAGACCACCTTACAGTGGATAAAAAGCTGGACATGACTCAGCAATGTTCGCTCGCAGCCCAGAAAGCCAATCATATCCTGGGCTGCATCCTCAGCAGCGTGGTCAGTAGGTCAGGGGAGGTGATTCTGCACCCCTACTCTGCTGAGACTCCACCTGGAGTGCTGCATCCAGCTCTGGGGTTCTCAGCACACAAAAGACTTGGACCTGCAGGAGCAGGTCCAGAGGAGGTCCACTAAGTTGATCACAGGGGTGGAGCATCTCCTTCTATGAGGAAAGGCTGAGAGAATTGAAGTTGTTCAGCCTGGAGAAGAGAAGGCTCTGGGGAGACCTTATAGCTAGCACCTTCTAGTACCTAAATGGGGGCTTAAAAGAAAGACAGGGACAAACTTTTTAGCAGGGTCTGTTGTGATGGAACAAGGGTTAATGGTTTTAAACTAAAAGAGGGAAGATTTAGATTAGATATAAGGAAGGATTTATTTTTTTTTTAATGATGAGAGTGGTGTAACATGGAACAGGTTGCTCAGAGATGAGGTAGATGCCCTGTGCCTGAAAACATTTAAGGCCAGGTTGAACACCGTTCTGAGCAATCTAATCTAATTGAAGATGTCCATGCTTATTGCAAGGGAGTTGGATTAGACTACCTTTAAAGGTTTCTTCCAATCCAAACTATTCTATGATTATACTCCTACATCTGGCACTAGAAGAAAGGGAAGAGATATTAAAATTGAAGCTGGAGTGCTCTTCTGTAGCGAACACTGCTGGGGAACCATTATGTACTATACAGAAGGGGAAACTCTTCACAAAGATGTCTCCTCCATGTCCTAAAATAACTGTTCAAAATAAGATTTGTAGTGTTGGTGCAGAAAGTAGGACAGACGTGCAGGCAGTGGGGGTGCAACAACAGAGGGTCTAGCTATGCTAGTATGCAGTTCTGGGCCTTCTCCAATACCTCCAAACCTTGATCTCCTCTTACACTCAAAGAAATAGCCTTGAAAAATAAACTTGAAAACTGACAGTCAAGTGAAACCATTAAAAGCTATTCCTTGTCTTATACTTTGAATGCATTTAATAAGTTGTCTAGTCTCTTGGGCAAGAAAATAGAAAACACAGAGGAAGTTCAGAATTGTTTATTTAAAATTTGCTTCTTATTACCTTTAGATGTCTGTGCTTTTGTAATTGAATAATTCAATACTTTTTTATAGGAAGTAAACATAAGAGAAATTCTTTACAATCCTCTTGAAGATGAACTGCAAAAGGAATGTTGTTCTTGTCCATTTTAAATCACTTTTGAGCAAGATTCTTTGTAAGGACCTTTCTTATTTACAGGAAAACAGCAATAACAGTTTTGTACCTCCTAACTTCTTTGACATTCCTAAAGCTTTTAGCCAAATTAACAGGTCTTGATCTTTTATTTTTCGTATAAGTCATATAGACCTAAACAAAATAAGCATTAAATATATAGCTACGTTATTTTTTTAAACAGTCCCAGATCAGAACTGCTTCTCTTAAACATACACTACTGACAGATCTTATTTTAATTATGCTTTTTTCCTATTTTTCTGATCAAAACGGTTGTGGAAAAAACATTAATAAAAGATATTTTAGAGGAATCTTATTCCTACTAACTTTCCCCAAGACATATTAATTAAAACAAAAAGGTTGAATATAAGACAGTCTAAATGAAGACAAAGTTTCCTTTTCATTTAATGCAATAACTGACTATTGCCTAAACAACTCCCTTGAAAGTATAAATCAATTTAATCTTATCAGGACACTCTTTTGAGACGTTTTGAAAATGCTTTGACATACCTGTATTAAGAAGTCGGTTTCCTTTTCTTTCATGAAAAGTTCAATGTAGAACTTGATTTTACTTATTAAAAGACTGTAACTGAAGCTTTGGAGAAGAGGAACATATGGATCCTTGTTTTTAATTATGGTTGCCAGCTTCATCCTTAAAGGCTAAGAAAACCACAGCTTTATAAAACACAAATCCTGCAATAAACTTAGTATCTATGCTAAACAGGACATATAGAAAGTAAACATGATGATTATATAGTTTCCTGAATATGCCTATATAACTTCATGCCACAGTTTGACAGGGTTCTAAAGTAAAATAGGCATAATACCAGGCATTTACTTTATGTGGTCAGTAAACGGTAAAGTGTAACTTTCCAGAGATCCCCATCATCATTTTCTTTATGAATAACATTGAAAGTAGGATTGTCAATGGAGCAAAAAACACCCAGTAAAAGCCACTCGTTACTCAGTTCTCTTTTCTCATTTGCTACCTCAAAACCACTGCCATTGAAAGGGGTGTACAGTGTTCAGGAAAAGGACTACTTAGTATAGCAGCCTTAAGGACACATCAATACTGATAATCAGAAATTCACATTTTGTCTACCAATCACTCTGAATCCTACAGAAACCAATATAACCAAGAAAATTAACTTCTGTGTACAGGCTGCATTCTTATTTATGAATTTGAATACTATTACCACAGTCTACACTTTCCAAACACCTGAATCCTCTGAATGAGGAGTGTATCTGAAGAATAAGTTATGCACATGCTACTACTTACATAGAACACACGTCCTAATATACTAGATGAAGATACAGGCAGTATTTTTACCTTTTTTTTTATTATTTTTTGCCTGCAGCCTTTTTCTCTTTTCTCCACCCCAGGAAATTCAGGTGTGTGCACTAGTTATTATTTTAGAGATACGCACTCAAACTTGCATCTTTCTGAATGATGCAGTCAACTTCAAACCAGGAAGTGTCCTGACTCACCTATGTTGTCTTTTCCAAGTAGAAGCATAATAACATTCAGTCCATACTAGAGAAGCTAATGAGTTTTCCTTCCCTGTGATGCTTCAGTACACAGAACACTAATCAACAGAGGTGACAAATAGAGTCCACTGTGACAGAAGTCAGTAGACTAATTATTAGGTAGTTATGCCTCTACCAGCATGTTTATACTGCCTTTGGTCTGAGAAAACAGCGCTATTAAATTCCCAGAAGCTGTAGTGCCACCTCACTCCTCATATTAAGTGGGAAAAAAACAACTGCTGGATGAATTTCACTCCCCCAAATCACCCATTACTTCTATCAATTCCCTAGCCAAAAATTTCCTTTTGTATTTAAAAGTCCCATTGGTGTCCCGCATAGACAATAATCAGGTCAAAGCTACGTAGGTAGCATTTACTAGCTTTGGAAACCCACTCCCATCTTTCTCCACTGAAAATAAAAGAGTTTAATGCAACTTAAGAAAGTTACTACCTTATCTGATTCAGAGTCTGTAAACAGCCTTTCAAGAAGTTCGGTAGCCTCCTTAAAATATCCATTTTCCATATGAACTGCTACAATCTACAACAAATATAATTACAAGATATGCTGAAATACTTTTCACCTGAGAATCAGAAAAAACCCCCAAAAGTCACAATACTACAGTTTTCTAAGACTTCCAAAATTCAGATTATTATATACTTAAGGGTTACCAACAATTATCTAGTTATAAAAGTTAGTTCTGAAGTAATATTAAACCTCATGTATAAAGCCTCTCCATCAGGCATTTAAAAAGACTCTCATTGATGCAAAGTGTCCCATACTTACCCACGAAGCATTGCTTCCCTCTCTTCCTGAAAGACTTTCACATTCCCAGTAGCTGACAATGTGTTTTTATATGTTCGTCTTTGAAATCAAAAGTTTTCCAATACAAATAATAATTTTTAAGTAAAAAAAAAACTATTCATAACATATTTTAAAGCTCAAGATACTAGTGTTTTGAAATAGATCTCAACTGATACTTTTTTTTTTTCAGATTGGTTGCTTTCGATACAAATTTGAACTGGTACAAACAGGAACCACTTTGGATAGAAAAAGGTCCCCTGTACAGATCTATTTACTCTGTATTAAAACTCTGAAAATTCAGTTCAGTCTGCTAATAGCTCAAGCTTTTTGTAAAAGGGGCTATGTTTTAGTAAGATAGAATCATAGAATACTTGAGGTTAGAAAAGACCTTTGAGGTCATCAAGTCCAACAATCAACCTTGGACCACCATGTTCATCACTAAACGATGTCCTCGAGTGCCATATCCACATGCTTTTTTAAACATTTCCAGGGATGGTGACTCTACCACTTCCCTGGACAGTCTGTTCCAATGCTTTACAACCCTTTGTCTGAAAAGGTTTTCCTAAAATCCAATCTACACCTCCCCTGATGCAACTTGAGGCCATTTCCTCTTGTCCTCTTGCTTGTTACCTGGGACAAGAGATCCACCTGGCTACAGCCTCCTTACAGGTAATTGGAGAGAGTGATAAGGTCTGCCCTGAACCTCCTTTTCTCCAGGCTGAACACCCCCAGCTCCCTCAGCTACTCTTCATAAGAGTTGTGCTCCAGATCCCTCCCCAACTTCACTGCCCTTCTCTGGACATAATCAGCACCTCAATGTCCTTCTTGTAGTGAAGATCCCAGAACTGGACACAGTATTTGAGGTGCGGCCTCACCAGTGCCAAGTATCCCAAGCACAGGGAGATGAGGATTGCCCTGGTTCTGCTGGCCACACTATTTCTGATCCAAGCCAGGATGCCATTGGCCATCTGGGTCACCTGGGCAACTGCTGGCTCGTGTTCAGCTGGCTGTTGATCAGCACTCCCAGCTCCTTCTCTGCTGGGCAGCTTTCCAGCTACTCATTCCCAATGAATAGGTAGCATCCTGAAGCATTTTGAGTAAGTCACACAGACCTGAATTTGAATTAAGCGACGAATATCTTCATGAAGCTTTTCCAGTTTAATTTCTTCCTTTTCAAGTAAAGTCCAGAAAGCCAGAGCAGATTCCAAAGGTGAAATTGTTTGACCATTTTCAAACTGTAATTCTTAGAGGGGAAAAAAAAAAGTACTTAAAAAAAAAGTAAAGGATAAAGCTAAAAATATTACAGTATTTATACGCAAAATAGTAATATGTACTATACATTATTTGAATTCCTTTTTCCTCAAATAATTTTTAGTGTCTCTCTCCAGGTGTGTTTAAGAACCTGAAGTAACTATCTTCTTTTCAGAGAGACTAGTTCTTCCTACTCTTGCTAATGACATTACTGTTGCATTTTTAAGGGATATTACGTGTCAGCTAATTATAGTTCACCTAAAATACCACTTGCAATAGTGCTGAGTTCAGCATTAGGTCTTTGGGCTGGTATTAATAATACAGTAAGCTTAGCATCAGATATCAAAACATTTGGTATTGATACTGTTAATTTTTGTAATATAACCACCACCCTAAGGTTGGTATTTTTTCTCTGAATCTATCATTGTATTTCCATGTCTTAAGTTTTTGTTGTATTTGAAGTGCTTAAACCAAGAGGGAAATTCAAACAGTTTAACACAGGAGTGTCACTGAAGAGGCAGAAGCAACTTCCCATGTCAGTGTACCACTGTGCCAACACCAAGGTTTGTATAAACTCCCAGTGAGCAGGATCAGTGATCAGTTCTGGCAGAGATCTGACCTAGCCAAATAGTCATCCCCTCAACACTCAAAACACTTTCCCAGTCTGGTCATTGCACACGTCTGCACAAATGAATGTAAAAGAAGTAGGAGGAGCTAGCAGGTGAATAAGTGTTTTTTTCCCCACATCACTGTCAGCTTAGCTCAAGATGTTCACTGAACTATAGGCCCACTTATTCCTTCATTTTATATGACATCAGCAGAATCTCTCTCAATAACTCATTCCTTTCATTAAGGAATGAGTAAACAATTTAAGCAGTACTTAAAAAATGAAAATTACTTTATACTCACTACAATAAGTCAGTCAGTGAAATTTCAGTGTTATGTGAGTATATACACATAATTAAAAAAACCCCACTTTTATGTTTCTTTAATTATTCTTTCAATCAAGTAATATGACACTTCATATTAAGTTTATTTTAATACTCTAAAGCCAAAGTGTTTAAAAGAGCTGGCACCTGAAACAGCCTACTCTGTTCTAAGACTCAGTACAGATTAAATATTTTAATAATTAGAAAAAAAATAGGAAAGTTAGCATGTAGTAGCTTTCCATGTACACTGTGGAGCTACACCCGACCTAATACCTACTAAGCATATACAATCTTCCTCACCACACAGGTCATTCTCTACACTGATAAGAAAAACACACAGCAAAGTCATATTTCCAAGTGTTATATACAGTAATATAGTTTTAGAGCATTATCAGAAAAGTTTCATAATTTGTAAAAAATGAACTACTTTAAATACAAGAATTTGATTCTCAAGCTAAAATAAGTCAAGGCAACTCTTATTACCTGACAAGTAACATAGAGAAATTAATTTTATAAAAACAAACCTCTGTGGCACTGCTAGGCTAGAATACACTTCCTTCTTCTATGCTCATGCTAGCAAGACTGCTTCTTAAGTCTTACAATGAGTTTATCAAACTGAAAATTTGCAGCAAAAAAAATTTAAGTCTTCCAAAAATTCTAGTGTTAAACAAAATCATCTTGGCTGAATCAGAAGGTAGTTGCAAATACAGCCAGAGGAGAAGTGGTAGCAAAAAAGAGCCCCAAGGACCTGCTGCCAGCTGAAAGTCTTACAGCCTTCTGTAGGAAACAAGGGCAGTCATCCTTTTAATCCATATTCTTATTCCTACTGTTAGTCCTACTTTAACCTCTAGTTATGTGTGCAGAAAGGAATGTACATCCTGAGCTTTAAACTTGCAAGTATTTTTCACTAATAGCTAGTCAGTCTTTTCCAGCAGATTTCTTTTGTTGATGCTACCCTAACAAAAATAGACCGATAATTTAAGAAGTATATAGTAATTTAAGAGCAGCTAAGTCAGTCAGTACAGAAAACACTGGTCCTGCATACAACTCAGTCTCATGAGGAATAAAGACAGCCCAAAATGTGGAGTTCATGCCATTTATTTACATATACTTATCTAGATATGTGTTTACAGACATGTACGATTTACATATAAATATATATCTATATATGTATTTATAACATGTACAGTAAAGGCTCTGTGAAAGCATATCTAATACACCTCTGTGCAGGATCACACAAATATTTTTAGACAAGTGAAAAAAAAAAAGAATCAGAGTATTTACCGAGGTTTTTTCCTTTTGCAATTCTTATCAAAAGCTGACAGAGATAAACTGTTTTTTTCTGATGTGTAGGTATTTTGAAAAAGCCATTGATAAGAGCTGAAAAAGAAGACAAATGATAAGTCAGTCTTGCTCCAGCACTGCCACAATGTGGCTAGACATATAATAGACACTGTGTTATCAGACTTTAATGATCTACTAATTTTTTAATTCATTAAGAAACCAATGAAGCACATTTAATTAGTATTTGTCCATGTTAAAAAAACTTAATATTTAAGAACTTAAGTAGAAAAATATACCCTTCTCCAAAGAAGCAATAAAATGTATCACAGGCTTATATTCAATCAAATTCAAAGACCATGGTATTGAAATAAAGTTTTGTTTTGGTAAGTAGCTTACTACAAAAGACATCTGTCTGCTCCAGAACACAGAATGCCCACAAACCATCAGCCACAGGCAGACTGGTAACACTTATATGTTGCTATAGAAACTTAAGAGACAAAAAGCAGTAAAAGCTACGAGGAAAGCTCAGTCAGAAATGTACATCTACAAGGGAAACCCTCCTTTCAAGGCTGAAAGGTCACAAGGATTCTTACATATTTTAGAATGGGAACCATCATGCGTTTATACCCACCATGCTGGTTACTGTGAATTTCCTATTTTATTGGGCTGGATATAGTAATTCATCTTCACAGCATAATATAGTAACATTCAAAATGAAGAGTGAATCACAGAATAGTTGGGGTTTGAAGGAGCCTCTGGATATCATCTATACCTGCTGTGATCCCTTCTAACCTTACCCATTCTGTGATTTTGTAGTCCAACCTCCCTGCAGGTTCAGGTGAAGCAGGTTGCACAGGATCACATTCATACAGGTTTTGAATATCTCCAGAGAAGGAGACTTCACAACCTCTCTAAGCAGCCTGTTCCAGTCACCCTCAAAGTAAAGTTTTTCCTTGTATTCAGATGAAACTTCCTGTGTTTCCGTTTGTGCCCCCCAAAAAATCACAGAATTATGAAGAACATGTCATGTTACTTGTCCAAGTTGCAGACTGAACACTCTAGGCCAGGAATTGTTTATATACACGTTTCACTGTCATCCTAGCAAAAAAGCCAGGATTATGGAGCATGGAACACCTGAGTTTTGCAATGAAACAACTAGTAAAACATAATACAATGTTTTACTTGAAAGTACTCAGCCTACTTGAATATTAGTGTATAACCATCTCCTACACAGAATAGATAAGCATGAAATTACAAAGTAAATAGCCCTGAATGATTACCTAAGCTAACATCAAGCATAATATTGCCATTTGGAGTTGGAAGAACATTTCTAATGGCTTCAGTGAGGACAGGTGATACAAGAGCTTTTAATTCCTGTAGCCAAAATATGTAGTAAAAAAAGTACATCACTTAGAATAGCAGTAAAGCACCACGCATTGTGATCACTTATGCACCTGCCATAGCAGACAACAGAGTTCAACCTCAGAAAGTGTTTGGACAAGCTTAATAATAGAGATGAACACCTTACTCTGAAGATGAAGGTAGAACTTTGAAATTCTGGAAGCAGGCAGAATAGCATAGGTGAACAATTCCACAGAATAAAAGGAGTCATCTTGGCAAGCAGCTTGAAATCTTTCAGCTTTCTCTGTTCTCATAAGGTGCACATACATCACCACTTTAATTCAGAGCAGGGGTGTCTCTTTAAAGCAAACCTTCTGTGCTTGGTTTGTGCAGTGGAACAGTCTTGACTACACAAACTGAATTCCTTTAGAGCTATTCCAAAGAAAAAGAAACCTTTAAATGCTTACTGTTTGGACACCAGGTCCTTAGCAGTAATTACTCACTATTAATGCAGACAAACAGAAAGAGACAAAGCCTTAGTAATCTTTTCTAGACTGTTCTCCCTCTACACACTCAGGGCAGTTTCTCTATTAATTTGTTTGTTAATAGTGTTCTCAATCATAAATCACTTTCCTTCTTGTCGCAACTCAAATGTATTTCTCATCTTAGCCTTTCATTAGAAATTCTAGAAATCCAGTTCCCTGCCATATAGGTACCCACACAAGCTAGTTCAGGTATATAGACTGTAACACCCTACCAACACAGGATAAAATAAGCAAGGCATGTAACCTTGCCATGCTGTCTTTAAATCCTTAATCCCAGGTAACCTAGCTATTTCTACATGGCAGCATACTGAGGTATAAAAAAATATTATTTATCTCCTAATAAAATTGCTCATCTTGTTTGCTTTGCCTTCCTACCTTTCTGCCCTTCCTTCAGTTTGAATTGACCCTCTTGTTGACGGCCAATCATTATTTCAGTAGAGTCTCACTTTGACAAATGCAAGAGTAATAGTTCTGTATTTCTATGAAAAAAAACACCCCAAACCCACACCCAATTTTCTAATGGAATCTTATGGCTGTGCTTAGCTTTTCCCATAGACATATACAATACTGACTTTATAATCTTACAGCACCAATACGCCCAACTCTTTCCTCTGTTGCTGAACAGAGCAGGAACAAGTTCAAAATTTCCTCTTAGTTCCCAGTTCCATGTGACCTTGCGTTCTGTACAATTTAATTAATTCTTTCTGCTATTACAGTCCTCAGGCCTCCAGTTTTTCTCAGGAGACATGTCAGTCTGCGTCTGCATTGGTAGTGCCTTTGCTTCTCACCTTCATGAAACTTCAGTACAATTCCTCTGCTTCCCACCCTCAGGAAATTTCAGTACAATTCTCCTGCTGAGTTACAGTCCCAAGGCCAAACATAGAGAAGCACCATGAATATTTTAATCTAGCAGTTCACCATTCAATGTACCTAATTATCTTTAGATTCCTTATCTCTTACAATATCTCATATCAGCCTCCTTACTAATCATTCTGCATGCCATTGTACTCCATTCCTTCCAGAACTTTAAACAAGTCATGTATCACATTCACTTGACTGAAGAACACATACACAGACAAAATATCCCCAAAGCTCTAACCTGGTATTTTCAGGAAAACTATTTCTAACACACACACAAAAAAATCATAAATCCATCAAATTTATCTGAGACCTAGACATTTGCTTCTAGCTGTTAACTACTCTCACTTTTAAGTGGATTTCTCAATTTAAATATGTTTTTCCTTTCAAAATCCAGTTATCACATTTCATTTCACCTTTCTCTGCCAGACTATAGTTCCTTGAAATACTTCTAGTGGTCTATCATAACCCTGAAGTAAACTCGTGGAACTTGGTGTGTTTAATTCTACTCTGGTTGCTTTTTACCACGTTTTCATCTTTTCACTAAATGCTCTTCACCTTCCCGATAGCCTTCCCCCTTCAGCATCCGAGGCCTCAGTTTCAGCAGCAGCTGATGGTATACAGGCAGTCGTGTTGAACACGCAAGGTTCTTGGGATCAAGATGACAGATTAACAGCAATGACTCTATTCACCTCAACATCTGAAAGTCCCCACCACCGAGCCTTCAGTAATCATTGTTTTCTTGGAAAGGTTCAGTCTCATTCAACCAAAATATTAACTCACAGGAGCCGCGATTATCTCACAACACTCGAGCTCGAACACCGGCAGATTAAACAAGCGAACAAAAACTCGGCGTGCGCTGCTTCACTGCCCCCGTGTGCGAGCGTTGCCGACACCACCAAACGGCCTCAGCAGGTTACCCGGTGCTCCGAGAATCTCCCGAAGTCTTCGAAAGAGCCGAATACCCACCTCCTCAGCGCTGCTGGAGTCAGGACACACCGGCCCGGGAGCGGCTGTGCGAGAGCCCCGAGCGCCCGCGGAACCCCGCGAGCCGCTCACTGCCACTCACCCTGCGACACGTCGCTCCAGCGCCGGAACTCCGCCCCGCTCCTATCCCCGAAGTGCCGGCACAGGCAGGAGCAGGCGAACTCTAGCATCCAGTCCGCGGCCACGGCCTCCACCGCAGCCAGCGGGGGCGAACAGACGCAGGGACCGCCGCGGCCCTGCCCCGCTCTCGGAGCGCCGCCGGCCGCCGCTGCCATGTTCAAACTGCGCGCTAACGGCTGCCAACCCCGCCCCGCGCTCACCGCGCCGCAGCCAATCAGCGCGGTGGTCCCTCCGGCTCCGCCCCACTCGCCCCATCACAGCCAATCAGCGCGGCCCGGCCGCTCGCTTTGGTCCGCCAGTTCCTCCTGGTGCCAGAGGCTGAGAGTTGGAGGAGTGAGTGTCTTGGAAGGAGCAGTGGCCGAGAGAGCTGCCACCTCCCACGCTTTTTGGGAGAGTAAACCGCGATACGTGGCTGTTTTGTGCATGCGTGATGCGGAGGACTTCTCTAAGCACGTCTTCATGTGGGTTCTGGAGAGAAGGCTGCTGGAGGAAGGAAGGACGTACCAGTATTGCATAGCCTGGAATGACCGGAAAGTGGAAGCCTCGACTTGACGCTGAAGCCCAGGATGGAATGTGAAGAGGGACTGAGTTAGTTGGAGTGTGGAGTGCATCTGTCTGAAAAGGCAACACTCTGTATATGTTAAAAGGTAAAACCTAGGAGGGAAGAAGGTTGTCTGCAGAGGGCTGAATTTAAGGCAAATGCTGAAGGGCAGAACGGTTTTCCTTCCAGAGACTTGATGGAGGGTCGAACAATCTTCTGGTAGATCTGGTGAAAGGCCTTCATCTGAGCTTAACTTCACTCCAGGGAGGAACAGTGTGGTATCAAGGAGCAGAATGAATTAGCTGCTAGGCCTTTGCTGCCTTTGATTCCTGTGGTCACATTAAATGCACCTGCAGCAGTTTTGCTGTGGCATAAAAAAATGAGGTCAAAGAGACAAGAAAACATGTTATTTAACTAAAAAGAATCATCTATTTGGACAGCTATACTAATAGAATGTAAGATTTTAATTTGCACTTGGAGAGAGACAATATTTGGCAACTCGTTGGCAACAGTTGTAAGCTTATGTTGTAGTGAGCTTTCAAATGCGTGTTTGCTTACATGTATGTCTACATGTAACAACTTCAAGGACACGAGTTCTTCAGACTGGAAAAATTCCTGTTACTTGGCATATTGTTTGGTAGTGCTTCAGGATAGTGATAAGCCTGCAGCTTTGACAGGCTTCATCAGGCTGCTGATAATCTCGAGAATCAAAATTCTCAAAGTGTTCGACATAACCAGTTAGGCATAAAAATGAGATCATTATGCACTAATGTTTATTTGAGCAGGCATTTTGGGAGTTTGGTAGTAGAAACTGACGGGAAAGTATGTCAAAGCTTGAAATTACCACGATCAAACAACCGCAGGACCAAACCTGCAAACTGTTACCTGTTTTGGCTGCAATCATATTCTGGTTCTCTTCAGGACGCCTTCAGAGGATTCTGACTTCAGTGGTTCAAATGGAGAAAAGATAGTTTTTTGAAAATGTGCTTTGGGAAGCCAAAGTAGGCTCTATGACCTCAGCAAATTCCTCTCAACTGGTGCAGAATAACAGTTTGGGTCACCTGTCCCAGCTGTGTCTCCTCCCAACCTCCCATGCAGCCCAAACTTCCTTGCCAGTATGGCAGTATGAAAAGCAAGAAGAGGCCCTGGCTCTGTGTAAGCACTGCTCAGCAATAACACAGACATCTTTATTATCATCACTGTGTTCAGCACAAATCTAAAATATAACTCCATACTAGCCACTGTGAAGAAAATTAACCCTGCCCCAGCCAAAACCAGCACAGCACCCAGCCCTGAGTGTCTTTTAGAAACCCATAATATCATATGTGAACAAATGGGTTTCATGTACTGCCTATCTCTCCCCCCTTAATGACAGAAAGAGCCTGAACAAGTGTTTTAGTAAAGATGCCTATCTTGTAGGCAATTTGAAGTCAGATGTCCTGGGTGAACTTGAAGCAGCATGACAAATGGTACTCTAGTGTGGCAAAGAATGCATTATTACTCTTATGAATGAGGTGTAAAATAACAGTTGGTTGGATTAATTCCTAAACCAGTTTTTTTCTTTTTCTTGCAGGTGTGTCTACGAGTTCCATTTGTGGTGGTGGCAACATCTTCCTAGTTTTAGCTCCCGTAGTCTGGTCTCCAGACCTGCAATACATAACACTTTCCTGTTTATGCTGAGAAGTCTTATTGTTTATCTGCCTTTTAAACGTTTTAAATTGCAATTTGCATTTCTTGAAAAATTTACTTGCCCCTTACAGCTCCTGTTAGAAAGTTTCTCCTACTGATGGATCTGCTGAGGGCAAATGTGAATAATGTTTAATCCCAGTACAACTATGAGCCAACAGAGGATTTTGTTTAACCAAGAGTGTATAATGTACATGTTTGATGTTAGGCATGATATATAGGTGTGCATGCATGTGTGCAGATGTATATACAGTTATAGATGAATATACATATGTTGCATATGTGTGTATATATATATGCTTATATATGTATATATACATGCAGGTATATGTATGTATAGACATCAGAATAATGAATTAATATGTATATATTTTTGTGTCTCTGTGTGTATACATACATATACATAAACATATATGTATAGTAATTTAATAGGTGCAAAGGATCTCGCTTAAACTTGTAAAATCTGTAAAATCCTCTCTCTTGCTCCTGAAGACAGTTAAAATAAGAAATAAGACTAAATTACAGCATAAATAATTATCAGTATTTTCATATAATAAATGAGTAAATACATACTTAACAGCATCATTATATACTTTTGGTCTCCCAACTAATTTGTCTGGATTATTCTTACTTCATAATAGCTCATTTATAGAACTTCTGGTTTTAAAGGCTTTATTTTTCTGTTCATCTGCTACTTTCTTTTTTTGTCTGAATTTATTTTTAATAAAAACCTTTGAAGAACATCATAAAGTTGACAGATCATCTTTAATCCCAAGAAAACTGCATAGTTCTTCTTAGCTATTTTAGAACGCACATACAAATTCAGAGTAAAATCTTACAAAACATCAAATAAGGCAATAAGAATTATTTATCCTCTTCATCACAGCAATAATACTAAAGTTGTCTAGACTAGATTGTTTAAATCTTGGCACTAATATTACTTTATTCCTTGGTTTCTTTTTGATATTACTGGGAAGTAAGAGTGTTTTTAGGCCCCTTCACCTCTATTTTTATTTCATTTATGAAAGCAAAGTAAATAAATTCTTTTTTCTTTTTATGATTTGCCATATTAAATTCACGGAATATTTAAACTTGAAAACAAATATTACACAAGAAGCATCATATACTTAGGTGATTAATGTGTTAATATATGCTGTTATTTTTATAATTACAGTAGAATTACATGTGTAAAGTGGTTTTTGAATCTGTCAATAAAAGCTGAGCAACACAACCAGTAGATGGCCCCAGCCTAACACCTCTTACACTGTGATACTCTGGTTTGCTGTATGTCATATTGATGAAAATTTTACAGGGCACTGTATTGTAATACTTTAGAATGAAAAACGTCTTGCTAGAATAATCAATTCACTGATATATAAAAAATTTAGAGATCAGAATGATGGATAAAGATTTTATTCATAGCTACCCAAAGTATAGGGTATCCATCAATAATGCTGGGAACCAACTGAATGTTTAAGAGGATTTGGCTTTGCAGTGGAACAAGCCCCCATATAAAAACAAGTACATGAAGAGCGTTCCTTTTCTCACAGGTGCTGATGTACACAGAATGAAAATTTGAAGTAAAATTTAGACCATTTAAAATGCCGTAGGAAGTAAAGTCCGTGCAAGGGATGACTGAAGTGAATACAGCTGAGCTGGAGATTGGATCCTGCTGAAAGCAAGACAGGAATCAACGTTTAATTTCACTCAGTATTGCTATTGGAAAAACATTTCTCTTGCTACATAAATTTAAAAAAATCACAAGACTCAGCAAAATTTTAGTAAGAACTGAATTCTACTGAGTAATAAAGGGAAGGAAGGATTTTACTGTGACCAAAAACACCAACTAGGGATTTGTAAATGCAGATATGGTGCCTGGCAGTGCCACAGATTTTCAACGGATCTTTATCAAGTCATTTATTTAAACCCATATTTTAATATGTAAATAAAAGTGGAAGTCATAAGGCAAAAAAAGCCTATGTGACAATAACACTATGTTGTACACCAGATGGTTAGAAAAAGCAAGCATCAGGGGAAGTTGCTCAATTGGATGCCTAATTTCTTATATCTGTTTAAGCTTGTTTATACACTAATTCCATAATGAGTTGGGTACATAGTGAATACATATATCAGGTATGTTTGGGTAATTGGAGTGTGTATCTGTTAAGGATACTTTGAATTTAGATGTTAACCAGTTTCAGCAAATTAGGGAACTAGAAAGTCATAATGATATGTAACATGAAATAAATGGCATCTATGTATCTTTGTGTAATAACTTTTTCTTTTAATAAAAAGCTATGAAATGGCATAGAAACAGACATGTACATGGTCACTGCCTAAGGATCAGCATAAGATGAGAACATTTAGAAGAGGTCAGAATTAAAAATATCCATGCAAACTTAACATGCCCCTCTGTGAAGGCACCTTTCAATGGCCTTGCATTATCAGATCATAAACTATTCTTTCAACATACCCTTCCCTCATTTATTGGATAGAATCGATTGTGCCCAAATAATTCACTATTATTTTCTTCCCATTTCAACATGTGACCTTGCACTTTATCACACTCTGCTCTGAGCACTTCACAAAACACCACTAATTTGTCTTTACCCTCATGAGCCAAGTCAGTGGTGTCATCTTTGCTTGCTGAAAGTGAGTTTGACTGATGTATAGGTTGCACAATAAGTGCATTTTGTGATGTTCCTTGAAATTCTTCAACTCACATCAAACACCTTGAATGGAGGACTACTGATGGAGATTCAGGTCCAACTATGGATGTTTTATTACCTCAGGAAGTGGGGCAAAGAGCTGGAGAACTGGCCAACATACACCTTTTTATGACTATTCAGCCACTATATACGGATTTCAGTTTCCATTCATTCTATATATTAGATGGAAATGAAGTATAGCCAAAATTGTTCAGACTTTGAATGCCTAAGAGGAAGTATCTTGGACCTGATTTTTCATAGTGATTCATAAATTTAGACTGCCTATAGCCCTCTGGAATTAAGTTCCAAGAATAATAAAAGAGGAAGGTAGGACAAATTAACACAGTGACTTTAGTTAAATGAATAGCAGATATCCTATAACTCAACTTCTGACTAACTGTGGGTAGCTGCAATTCCTTTAAGACCTACAGTCTATGAAATGTTAAATTACAACTACAAGATTTTACAACTCGACAAGTCAAAATGGGAGGATTTAAAATTGAGTATAGAAAATGAGGAAAACAGAATTAATTATAATTTTAAAAAAATTATTTAAATTATTCCAATATGGCCTTGGAATTTTATAGAGAAAGAGAAGTTTAAATTTTTCTGGGCAAGACTCAGATTTTTTAATGTATCAAACCTTCTGCAAGTGCTACCTCATTCACTACATCAAATTAATCTTCTGCAGCAAGTGAGGGATTGGCTACCTCACATTTAGTGTCTTTGTCAACACAAACTGTTGATTTATTCCCAGAACTGAGTGAGATGGGGATCTCCTGGAAAAATACTCTCATTAAATGACCCACTGTTTGACTCATCAGCTGAGATGAATTAACTTTATGGAACAATCTCAGATATGGTATTGCTGATCTCCTGAATGAGTCACTGATGTTCTCTTAATGCAGACTTTCTTTTGCCTGAGTGTTTTAGAATGCAAAATCATGAAGAAGTAAATACAGAATTAAATTTATAAAGATTTCTTATTGTTGCTGGATCATTCCACATTTCCAAACACTAACCATAAAGGAACAGAATTCAAATTTATAACTTGTATTAGCTAATCTGGCCAGGGGCAATTCAATAGTTTAACTTTACAGTTTGTTTCAGTGACACTAGTGGTCTCAGCTGCTTTCCTACTTGAACATATCTCAGAAAATGCTATATAGAAGTGTGACTGTTTTAGTACTAGACTCTATCAGACATTAATTTAAATTTTTAATATATGTTTTACCTTTGGCTTAATAATTCTTTTAAATCATACTTGCATACTTGCATATTTCAGAAGTTCAACATTACGACAAATAGAGATAAAATGTGGATTTTTTTTCAATACTGTACTGACCCAGTTTGACATGTAACCTCCCCAGCTGTTTTTCTAGGTTCCTAACATAATATTTGTATGTAAGTCTGCATTAGCTTTCTTTTGTCCTTTATCTCCTTAAAAATACAACACAAAACCTCAAATGATAATCAGTCTTATTTTAAAAATTACTTGCAGTTATACATCATGCTAATTCCATGTGTGCTCACTGCTTTTCAAAGAAAAAAAATTCAGAGGCAAAAATCAGCAACTGTACAGAAGAAATAAAAACAAAAACCAAACAACCCCCCAGCAATTAATTGATTTACCTCCCTTTTCATAGTTAGTGTCAACTATGATTTCAATAAAAAGATAACCAACTAATAATGAACAGTTGTACATTTTTGTTTGGGCTTTTTGTGGCTTTTTTGGGCTTTTTTGTGGGGCAGGGCAGGGCTGGGCAGGGCTTGGCTTGGCTTGGCTTGACTTCCCCCACCCACAGTGGATCAAGATCGTCGCTTCAACCAACAGACATTGAAGCTGCAACTAACAAGTTTCATTGCCAGATCCAGTAGGTGGTGACTATATATATCTTTCTACTTGTATTCTTTCTTTCTCTTTCTTTCCTTATACACTTCCATAAGTATTATTTTTATGCTTTAATGTTGTATTACTATAGATGATAACAACCAAAATGGCTATACACCTGTTTTCCTTTTTAACAAAATTGTTCTAAAATAAACCCTACATATATATGTTTACAAACACCAATTATTCAGTGTTGTTTCACTCTAATCTACCCCAAGGGATTTATTAACAAGAACTGGGGTTCCCCTCCCCTTCTGGGCTGGTCATAACAGAACTGCCTATAGCTGTAAGGCCTGGATGGGCTTAGACCTCCTAACTTTTACATTTGATAGATGATCCACACTCTGGGTCTTACTAAGGTTCCCTACATATCAGTTTCCACATCTGCTGAAACAGAAATATTGTGTTTTAGGAACTTACAGATCAAAGAGTATTCATTTGTGACCTTCTCTTCTGATCACAGTTAGAATTTTTTTATTTTATTTTTTTTTTTTTAAATATTTATTGCTTTCTATGCCTTATTCCAAGTGATGGGAGACCTTGAGCATTCCCAATTCTTACTGGCTTGACTTGGAGGGCTGTGAGCTACGTGCACTTTAGGAACTTTGAAACTTTTTCTGTTCTGCTTTGAAACAGGAAAGGAATCATTTTAAATTAGCAGGTTTGGATAGCCTCTATTGTCCTGTTGAGGAGTTTGACTATGTTGATTTTCGATAGTTCTTGCTACACAGGGAAAATTTCAGGAGTGCAAAAGAAAGTTAACATGCCAATATTTAAAACTGAATTAATAAATAGTTAAAAGTGAGTAGCAGAATTAATGCAAGTTAATTTGTGTTTATGGAAAATAATCCTGTAGAGGATTGGTTAGAAATGCGAGGACATATGAACATGGCTAAGGCTATAGATGAGCTGCTAAAGTATAAGACTACTGCTAAAGTATAAGATGCAGTTTTCCCTAGGCCCATGAGAAAGTTAGAGATAGCAGGGCCGTGAGAAAGCGGCAGTGTCCTTGGGTATTCTAAATTGAGCTGAGAAACAGGAGCTAGGCATTACCAAAACAAAGGCACTTAATGAGCCACCTGTGTAAACAGTGGAAAGCAGTTAAGATGATATCACCACCTAACCGAGTACCAATAATGAGCCTGATTTCTGTAATATTCATGAACCTATTATAGAGTGTATATTAAGCTACTATCAATCTACAATAAACGAAGTTCCTGGATTCTCATATTGAGGTGTCTAGAGCTTTCCGTGGCGACGTTATAATCCTATCAAACGATCTTCATGTTATATTTTCTGTAATATTGGTTGATTAAAAGATGAAGAAAGTGAGGATTTGGAGATCCGTTGAAGCTGATGACTTCGACAAACTTGTTACACCACTACAAATCAATCCTTTTGTTTGGCAAACTTAGAACAAAGTAAGTAGTTTTTTTAATAATGCAAAGCTACTAAAATGAGCCTTATTAGCAAGCCTCTGTGCTATGGCATAATATTGTCCAGGGGCTTTCTCCTTCTTTTGACCACAGAAGAAGGTGCTGTTGTTCCTGGCAAGAAAAGGTAAATGTATTCAGTGGTTAGGCTGAGAAATCCCTATGTGCTGCTACTTATATGATACGTCTTTATTGTGAGGGTGATGAGGTACTGGAACAGGTTGTCCAGAGAACCTGAGGATGCCACATCTCTGGAAGGCCAGGCTGGATGAGGCTGGGAGCCGTCTGGTCTAGTGGAAGGTGTCCCTACCCATGGCAGGGTGTTGGAACTAGATGACCTTTAAAGGTCTGTTCTAACCCAAAACATTCTATGATTCTGTGATCATTAGGTGCTGTGTGGCAGATGCCCTCCATAGCAGAGTCCCACCAGGGACTTGGGGGTTGGGCATGGTCAAGCTTGGAACTTTTTGGAGCATTGCCAAGCAACTTCACAAACATTCCATAAATGTTCCATTGCAGTTGCTCAGGTAAAGTCTCCTGCTTGCAGCTTGTTTTAAAACTTACAGGTCTGAGACTGTGTGTGGGAGGATGTATTTGGCAGGTGCTTCATGTATAAAGACTTTAGTCACAGCCAATGCTTAAATTGGCCACTGGTGTTTTTATTTTGGGATTGCCAGTTGCAGAGAGATCTTCACACCAGAGCATCTTTTATGTGTGGGCTGGTTCTTGTGAACTGAAACGATCACTTTATGTTGTGACTTTCAGTAGATTTAACTTGCCCTCTCAATCAATCTTCTTGGCTCCAGAAGCACCTTCATGTTTAATTAATTTTTCTTTCATACTTATGAGTAATTTTATAATGTCCTGTTGAGTTAAGAAATGGAGAAGTTGGATACAGGCAAAGCAAAGCAGTCCTAGTGTTTCTGTCTGTGTGTCCATGACTTAATTCTTTTTGTGAAGCCCAAATTGACATTGTTTTCTGAAAGGTTTGAAAAGTGTAACAGCAGGGGGGTTTGTTTTTTTTTCTAGCGTATATAGTCATGCAACATCTGCACTAGACCTTAATTCCAGTTAAGAGAAGAATAAGCAACCTGTTCTCTGAGGAAGGCTGTAAACTAAAAATGACTTAATGCTATAATGAGGAACAACTTACGTACTATGAAAAGCTGCCATATTTTTTTTCTGTCATCCTCCTATGATCTTCAGAATTATTTTTTTCCTTCTGAGATTTCTTTTTATTAAAATATCATATTGATTATGTGTGTTGTTTTCAATGGGGTTTTTTGTACTTGCCTATCTGGATGACACAAAGAAGAGGCCTAGACAGTGAAGGATGGGAGACCATGGAGTGTTCCACCATACAGAAGTAGATTAATTTAGTTTACTATTTTTCTCTATGAGTGGCATTTCACATAGAGAAATTATTTAGTTATAATTTTAATTTAGCTGAAAAAAACTTCTTCCAAAGCATAGTGTAGTCTAAACGAAAATGTCATTCTTGCTTTCTAATTACAGTTTAACATCTTACAGTTACTGTTATGCCACAGCTACATTGTAAGAGTGAGGGAAACATCTTCTTCGGAAGATAAGAAAGAGCAATGATATGCTGAAATACATACTGCGTTTTCTGAATTGTCTTATGATTTTTGAATGGACACTGTTTACAAACACCTGTTTCAGGTCTTACATTTTTACTTCAGATCTTAGTAAAAACTGAATTCACTGTTAACTGCTTTATCTATGTTTTCTCTTGTGCCAGCCTTGCCTGTGAGCTCAAGCAGTCCTCTCTCCTGAGAGAAAGTCATGTTAAAATGATAGACTCCAGTCAATCATATTTCCTCTTTCTTGATTTTGCTCTATTAAATTAGGTTACTCCACTGTCCTCTTGAATGACAGGTGTTGTTTTTTAAACATATTCATAGCCTGCTTTCATAGTTGCTTTCGTTTAGATCTGAATTAGTTTGTAGTTTGTTTCAATCAGAATTGACCATAGTACTTTATTATCTCTCAAATGACAGTATGATTTTTTTTGTCTGCTAGGAATAGCTTTGTCTGGGATTCTACCACACTCTTGGATTATTAACCTGATAATTGATAACTCTAAAATTGATACACTCAGTTTTGTATCTGGCTAAGTGTTAAACTTTCACATCTATTAAACCCTATTTTATAGTAGAAATCCTCGTTACTAATCCTGGGTGCCAGAGTGATGTTCCTATTCCTTCCACCTGTGCATTAATTAACTCTTTTGTGTAATGGCATGCCTTGATAATGATACTATATGGGCACCAGATATTCCCACAGGGTTTCTGCATGTTTGTGCCTGATCTTTCTTGTTTCTTTAAAGTAGGAAAGCCTAGATATGGAAACAACTGATGAAGAAACAACTGACAATCCAGGTAGCATTGTAGGCTAGTTCTCTTTTAAATTTCCTTGACTATGCCCTAGCCAAAAGCCTTGTCTTAAACAATTGAGATGGACTGAACTACTGGGTATTTTTATCTATTAAAAATATCTGTGTTGCCATTGATTTAAAAGCCACAGCCAAAGATTCTAGGGCTGTTCTGGCAGTGAGTTCACAGGTATTCAGAGAAAAAAACTCCAAATTCCCATGTTTTTCCAAAATGCTTACATGATAAAAGGCTGTGGACAGGTGGGAATATATGTCATGTATTTTGAATATATCATAATTTGCAGCAGTACTTAAACAGTTTAACATTGTGTGCAGTAATTTCACCAGAAGGAAGTGAAGAAAAAGAAAGTGATGATGAAGACACTGAAAAGCATTGCCTTATTGAGCATTATCAAGATCCATTGGAAAGTGGGTTATAAGTTTCTCTTAAGAGAAAATTTCTTGCATGGAAGTGAGATTTTTTTTTTAAAGTGGAAACGCATGCACACACGCCACACTCAACTTTAAATTTCTTACCTTCATTCATTAAATGCATTTATCCTGTGGACATTCAATTTTTTTTTGCTATTTGGCATCCTTATTGTTTTCAGTAAAAAAAGTAACCTATCCTTGAAAGAACAGTAATTAAAGAGACCTGATAATCTAACTCGTGGTTTTCAGTTCTAAAAAATCAAGTGTGTGTTTTTTCACTTCTACTGTGCACTGATTAACCCCCACCCCCCTTGAAACTTCCCATGAACTTAGAGATAGGTGATACATGTCTCGTTTTCTGCCTCTTTGACTACCCTGCTTTCTCTTAAACTTGCTCTTTGCTTTCAACAGTCCCATCTTCACCTGTCAGAGAGAGAGATTCACGCAAAGGGAATAAAAGGTTTGTGTATGATTAAGTGATAGTTTTTCAGTCACATGACTGAATAATGCTTTCAAGGGGTTTTGGATGCGTGATAATTATAGATCAGTAGTATGATTATTGCCATGGTAGTCTAAGGGAATAAAGAAAACAAACACTGGCTGGGAGAGGCCATCCTTTTTACCAGCGGTTAGGTTTTATTTGAAAATGTAGACTGCTGTATTTGTGGTCGTTGATAAGGTGATGATGAGGGTTGTGGCTGAGACTGTAACTGAAATCCATTTGTTCTGGAACTGAAGGCAGAATGTCCCTCTGAAAATCTTTAGACTATTTAATATTGAGGCATGTAAATTGTTTTCTTAAAGCCAAAGAAAATTTAGATAGAGGGAGGGCCTGTATGAAAGTTTTAATGGACTTTTTTTTAATCACTCAAACACTGATTCTGGTGTCTCTTTGGAATCAGTTCATGTTTCTGTATGAAAGTATCCTTAAACAAGAAAAATGCTAAATGAAATTATAAATTGTAAATTGTAATAGTAATGACAAAGCAGTATCAGATCCTGTAAGCAGTTAGAGCAGAGAGAGTTCCTATCTATCCCTTGCTAGATAGGAACACTTTGTTTAGCAACCTTGAGAGCAGACAGTTATTGAAGGAAGGATTTTTGAAGCCAAATTTTTAAATGAGTTTAAAAGATTAATGGTTCACAGACTGGCTACATAATGCTAAGTGAAACTTGATTTGTGTATGTGAGAGAGAGATTGGACAAAAGGAGAAGCTTGGTTAAGAAATTTCTTTGCACACTAGTTAAACATTTTACCTTCCTAAGAAAAATCAAATAATGTACTTTGAAATCAGATTCGTAAGGAGTCTGATGATCTGAAAACTTATTAGACCTCAAAGTAAACTCTGAGATAGCGTTCACTTAAATTTTCTTATTACTTAGTGCACATTTTAATTTTTTACTTTGAATTGTTTGTTTGTTTATTTGAATGTTTGCAGACAGAGATGTGCGGTGCCAAACAGTGACTCCCCTTCCTCATCTAATCATGAGGATTTTGAGATACAGAGGAAGAAGAAAAATTTAAGAAGGTTAATGAAATTGGAGAATACGGGAGGGAGAAGTCTACTTGGGAGGACCTTGCATGTGCCTATCCATGGAGTGTTGCCATCTCCATTTTGTACCCTTTCTAAGTTGTGGCAATACTTAATCATATCTTTTGGTATTGACAACTGTAACTGGACTGTCTAAAACTGGATTTTTAGAGTTGATTTTTAATAAACAATTTGATTTCTAGGTGAGAATGGGGAAAGGGGTAGAGACACACACTTTGATGTAATTTCTTAATGTAAAATTTTACTGCTTCTGTACTTTACCGTGGTTTATTCAGAAAGAAAATCACCATAACAGAAAATGTTATAAATAGGGGAAATAGGTTTTGTTACTTAACAAATGCTCTAGAAAAATTATTTTAGTAACAGTCTAACAAAAAAGTTTTCAGCCTGATGTCTTTCAGGCATATCTTCTGGCCCACACATTCCAAAGTCCTCAGGAAGGTCCAGGAGTGGTGGGCAGCCTTTATAATGTTAATCTCCACTGAAATAAGTATTCTCTTGGACTGTAACTTTTTGAATGTAGAAGGTAAAACTATTTGAAACATATCAGTGTGTTTGGGGAGGGGAGGGATTCTTCCATCGTACAGATCAAGGTCAGTCCATGGTCTCTCCATATGGAATAACTTGTTCTAAACTTGCATTCCTATAATTACTGTGTTGACTGGCATGGATATTCCTAAGTGCTAAGAGTTGTTAAAATGATTAACTTGGTTTAAAGTCTGGAGTGACCATTTTTCTTTATTTAATCATGGCCATTATACGTAAAAGTTGGAATGAATATTTGACTATTTAGGAAGTTTATGCTGATTTTTAATGTCTTCTGCATTCACTTGCTATCATTAGAAAATCAGAAATCTTCTATCTGCATCATAAGTTAGAAAGCACCTTTTTTTTCCTCCTTAATTCAAGTCAGATCTCTTCTGTTCAGCTTTCAGAAAGGTGACTTAAATGGAGTTAACAAGAATACCAGAAAAATTGGAGCCAGTCTGGCTGGTGTTGAGCAAATGCAAATAGATTCGGTAAGTATTTTTGATTCATTGTGTCAGTGAGAGGTTTGTCCTCTACAGCTCCCTCAGTTTACAGTTTTATCAAACAATTTGAAAATTGCCATGAATATTTCTTTTGTGCTGTCTTCTAATTTCTGATGGAACCTTATTGAGGTTGCATTTTTCTTTAACATATAAAATGTGTTCTGTTGACTTCAACTTTAGGTACAATTTGATGGCGTGGGTGGTCTTTCTGACCACATTTCATCTTTAAAGGAGATGGTCATTTTTCCCTTGCTTTATCCAGAAATCTTTGAGAGACTGAAAATTGAACCTCCAAGGTAACAGACACGGTTTAAAACTATAAGTTATCATTCACCTATTTTCAGGGGAATATTCAACTGAGGTATCAATATGTTCCCATGCTTCAAAATTCTCAGCAGTGTTGTTTTGTTTTGTTTTTTAACAGTAGTGAAGTGTAATGTTTAAAAAATGGATAGAATCCAACATATATGTAGGTCCAAAGATTTACTGTGTGGTGAGATTATCTTTTAAGTGTCTTGCCTTTCAGACCTGGAGTTGGAAATGTTTACTTTAGAGTTCCATATACAAGTGGACTTGATTAGTTTGTAAGTAGGAAGGAATTGTCTACTCATAGTCAACTGTGGTTTGTTTTATGAAAGTCCAGTTGCCTCTCCCACCAACTCTTTTTTTTTCAAGTGCTAAAGTATCAGTTTTACAACTGATAGGACATGCAACTAAAAGCTTGCAGTGCTTGTTGTGCTTGAGCTAAAACAAGAAACTGCATCTTACACAACTAAGTGACTTCTGTGTTACGAAAAAAAATTCTTAGAGATTTAATTGTTAGCTTTGTATATTCTTGGTCAGCAAAACTCAGTTGTGGTGTATTGAACTAGGACTTTAAATTCTTTGCCTTCAGCAACTTCAAAAGTATTGCAAACAATGAAAAGAAAATATTTCTGTGTTTTGCTTCTTTATTCATTGAAATTCTTTTTGAAGCAGCACTGTACTGGCTTTTCTATTTGATGGAAATGCAGAAATGCAGAATATCTTTCCAGCTTTAGACTACTTCCTCTTCAAAAACTAAAAGTTTTTCAAGGGAGATTTAAATGTTTTATTATAAAATCTTGACTTTCATGAAAACAGGAATGTATATGCAGTGTATCATTGTAAAGTTAGCCCAGTCTGAGATTCCGCACTGGAATTTTTTTCTTGTTTGGCTCCAACCACTCCTGTTGGTTTGTCAGAAGTTTTAAGTGTCTTTTTGGGACACTACAATCTTTGCTCACGGTTTTGTATTTCTGCATCACCTCTTTATTCATTTTGTTTGCTGCCTTGTTGAATTGTGTAAGAACACTTTTGACTTTTCGCACACTTCAGCTATTACCGCTATCTTATCCACTGAGTATTTTGTTTAGGAGAGCGGAGTTGTGTGTTTTAGGAATGGGGGATTGTAACAGCTACTTTTCCACGATGTTTTTTCTTGTGTCATTTTTCTAGTGTATTTTTTTAAATTGTAGAGGCTGTCTATTCTATGGTCCACCGGGGACTGGAAAGACACTGCTTGCTCGTGCACTTGCTAATGAATGCAGTCAAGGTGACATGAGAGTAACTTTTTTTATGAGGAAAGGTGCTGAATGCTTGAATAAATGGATAGGAGAATCTGAACGACAGCTTCGTTTATTATTTGAGCAGGTAAGGTTGAAACATGCCCTGCATTCTGACCAAGTTGTAACTAGTTTTCTGTGGTTAAGTAGAATTCATTCTTTTTCATGTTTTGTCAGCTCCTTCCACTGAAATGGGACTGTCAGTGTTTCCTTCTTCAGTGGAGTTTTAGGGGCTTGAAATCTTGGCATGTATTGGGAAAGACTAGTAAAACAGACAAGAAAATCCTGCCACGTGCCGCCACTACCACCTCCACTCCCCTGCCCTCCAATAAGAAAACCCAAAAAACCCCAGAAAACCCAGCAGCCACCCAAACAGTCACAAAAGAAGTTTCAAGAAGCAGGAGGTGGTGACTTTAGATCAGAGGGAAACAGATGCAGGCTGAAAGCATGGTCATTTAAATTGGTAACAGAGGGTTGCTTCCCAAATCTATAACTGAGTTAGATCCTGTCTCTGTTCTTCGTGGTTGTCCAATAACTGTAAAAACTACTGGTATGATTTGTTTCTTGTCACCCAGTCTCAGTGGGTTGACATAGGCTTCTGTCTTTTGTTATTTGTGCCTCTTCACTCTCTTAGCTCAATTAGTAGAGTTCCCTGATGCTAGTGTGAAAAATCTAGTTTGTGCCTTTCCAACCAGAATGTTTTTCATGCATTTTTTCTTTCAAATAATGCAATTTTACTAATGTCAATATTCCTGTGTTTTCATTGTAGGCCTACCAGATGCGACCTTCAATTATTTTCTTTGATGAGATTGATGCTCTCGCTCCTGTAC